CCAAAGGTACGTTTGCGCACAATCTGAAAATGGAAGCAAATCTGGCTGAAGCTGACTAAGCCCCGCCCGTTGAGAAGGAGCTACTGACAGGTGAACATAATGAAACGTGTTCTCTTTATTCACAATCCCTGCTGCTCTGTCTTCAGGAATCATCGTCGTTGTCGTAATCGCCCTTGTAATCGTTGTGTTTGCTGTCGCTTGCGTCGTGTCACGGAGAAGAGGAAGGGTAAGAGGAGCAGGCCTTGAATTCAGCCACGCTGAATGTTATAGGGCTAATTATTCAGTGCAAAATAAAATGCTCTGTCTAAAGATTGCACATGATAACTAAAACATTGACTAACTGCTTTCTTTTGCAGCGCTACAATGTTGATTTTACTGCTAGCCCCGATGAAAACGTGCCACTCGGCACCATAGACCCGGAAGTCCGTGCTGAGTCTGCGCCTCAAAACGGTTCGGCCAACATTTCCAAAAAACTATAACCTCAAAGGAAACATAATTTAGATCAAACAAGTCTTGTTTGTTTAATTAAAAAAAAAATTGTACACTTTTCAGGTCTGAAAACCTTTAATAGCACAGAAACGGCAGCTACTGAGCCAAAAGGACCAGAAGCAGCACCTGAAACACAGGAAGAGAAAAAAGGTGAGTTTTATGTTATTTTTTTGTTAAATAATAATAATAATAATCAAACAAAAAATGTAGTGTAAATTACATACTACATTTGTAATAACTCGTGTAGGCATGAGTTGCAGGCGAATTGTGTGCTGTTTTCCTTCCTCTTTCCTAATAACATAAAAGAAGAGGAAGTTTGGTTCACACATTTAGTTATCTTTTAACCATCTAAGTTTCATGACGTAAGTATGAGAGTGCATTTATAACTTGTATAGAGTGTTTTTTAATGTAAAAACACATCAATATTATTTTACAACAAATATGACAGCTGATGACACTGATTCTTAGAAAACCTAAAAGTGACCAACTTCTTCCTGTTTAGATCTACAGGCTGGTTCTCATGACTACAAGTTCTTGCTGTGGCAACAATCTTATCTTCTTATCTTAAAAGCATTAGCATTATATGCACATTTAAAATAAATGCATTATTAAGAGATTTGTTAGCTTAGAAAGTTTGCTTTAAATCAAACAAAATTATTTTTTACTGAATTCATTTTTTTGTTAGACATGGTAATCTGATTTCATTTTGTGAAAGGATCCATCTGAAATCTCATTATCAATCTAATTAGTAAACTCATTGCAATAAGAGATGAACAATGACGATTTCTTTTGCTGTCTTACATTAGCAAAAGTATTCATTAATTATTGTTTTTCATTAAAATGGGGCAAACATGCACTAAAAAAGTTGCTCCTAACAAGATTGCAACTAAAAGAACAGTTTTCAGGATGTTTAAATAAAAAAAACTTGTGCCGAAGTAAGAAGCTGAAGATGTTTCAGGAAAGTCAAAAGAGTCCAACAAGCATTAGACCCATTTATACTACCACCAATGCACAGCTTGACTTATTGGCAGCAGGAGGATTTGTTTATCCCAAAATGAACATCAAGGAGAGACTGAAATTCCACAGAAAGAGTAGATTAGCAAAGGATTAGCACAGTATCATTCTATCTTAGGAACCTTCCTTCTGATGCATCAAGAAAAGCATTTGCCAGGAAAAGAAAACAAGTCCAACATGTTAGAAATCTAAATGTGTTGGATTGCTTCTGTTCCTCACAGTCTGCCAAATACTGTCATAAATAAAGAGTGCAATCAAAATGTCCCACAAAAACAACTTTTTATAGCAATTCAGGGCAATTTGGGGATGATCTGTGAATCTTCCCCTACAATGGAACATTGCATTACAATGTGGTAACAAAGAAGCTTAAATGGCAACATAATGAAATTTTGGACATGTGGTCATGAAACTCCACATCACCACAGTGAGAACATGCGGTCAGTTTAAAAAAAAAAAGTGGTAAAGAAACAGAAGATAATAAACTGATCAACTTCAGGCACCAAGAACACCAGGATGGTGAATCACTTTAAAACATATGAAAACATTTTTTTAATTTTCTTTGGCATACCACAGAAATTTGCGTGGAAAAGAGGCAAAAGATGGTGAAGCCACAAAGTGCAGAAGTTTTTGTGGGTTATAAAGCTTCTGGGTTTGCCTGTAGAAAACAGATGCAGATCTTTGTAACACATCCTCTGATATGAAAGGAAGTTTGGTTTTGTTGTTTTTCGGTTACTGTTGGCTTTTGGTAGAACACAAGTTTCATCATTGTTTCCGATCCCACCCAAAAAATGTGTTGAAATATTGGTGACGGAACGACTTCCTGATCAGAGGAGGCAAATGAGCTGCAGTACTCTGATTGACCACAGGGTGGAAACAGAAGCTCAGATGGAGCTTTTAATGTGGCCGGTGCCTTTTAATACTGTGGTTTTCTGTACAGTTTAAGAGGCCAGTTGGAGAAATTTTGAAAGTTGTTTTTAAATTTGAAAAGTGAAAAAGATAAAGTATTTAATCGTGCAACTTCCTGTCTTCATTAGTTGGTTATTTTATTAGGCAGAATCCTCATTTGAGACCAAGGTGCTCACATTTGCTTGTAAATGTACAAAGTGTTTCTGCTTTGTTCTGCGGGAGTTGGTGGGTTACAGGTAAACGGCGTCATCATGTCTGGGCTCGTCATTCTGCTTTGAGCCGTACTGGAGTTAAATGGAGGCTGCTGATTTTAGGGACGGTTTAATCCCATAAGATTTACTTCCTGTGAAAAGAAACAGCCAGAAAAAAACAGAAAATGTTTTCCTTTACTTTTTATTTCCCAGTGGTAATTGCTGCAAACAGCTGTCAGATGGTGCGTTTATTTGTTTGTGCTGCAATTAAAAAAAAACTCCCAAATTTACTCCTCTGAATCATCTTCTTGCGACAAATGTAAAATGTTTCTTATCATCAGGAGAAGTGTTTCTTCCTCAAAATGATTACTTCAGTGCTTGCAACATTTTTCCATCCAGAAAAGCTAACCCTCAACATTTGCATAAAAGGCCTGCTGGCAGAAAAAAAAGCTACTTTTTTTTTTTTTTTGTTAAGATTTCCTGAGTTAATTTGGAAAGTTAAATGACAGGAAACTTTGTCGTATTACATGACCACTGACGGTAAGATGATGACGCAGTTTTACTTCAAGAACTTGGAGTTTTTCATTATCTCAGCTTTGAAGGGAATCAGAAGAATTAATACATTAAGCAGCATTTTTCAGCAGCATACCTACAGGTGTTTCGTGGACACGAGCTCAGAGTCTGCACAGGTTCCACTGACATGAGGAAGGTCTAATCAGGTGCAGTAAGTGAAATCCCCTGTGTGGGTGGAACTTCGAGGACCGATGCCTTTAGCTAAGGCAGCAGAGGGAGTGTTATGATCTGCAGTTTCTGAAATACCCAGCCCTGCCCATCCAGGTTGAAACTCACTGAAATCAACTTTTTTTTTTTTTCACCTTTTTGATGCTCGATTTGTATCAGTGGCACTTTATTAGGAAAATCTTACTTACAGCTGGATGGGAAAAGAAACTTAAAACACAGAGTCAGAAAAACTGACAAAAACCTGTTTTGTCAGTTTTTTGGGTAACACTTTATTTGAAGGGGAGGTGAATAAGACTGTCATAACACTGTCATAAACATGACATAACACCTGTCATGAACATGAATAAGCCTTCATGAATATTTATGACTGTTGTCATAAAGCGTCATTCGATAAATTATGACACTTTTAATACAAAGTTGACATTATTCAAAATGTCTTTGTTATGACAACTTGACATTAACCAGGAAATCATTACTGTTTAAACTTTACCTTTAATAACATAAAGTTACCTGATTTTTAAAGTGCAATCAGTAATACTTTTCTAACAAATTTATATCAATAATGATATTAACATGATATATTTTTGGTAACTAAAAACAGAAAAAAGTCTGTGCAATATAAACCTATTGGACTGCATAAGAGTCATGCCCAGTTTTATTTTTACTATATCAGAATAATGTCCTGACTAATGAAAGAGTTTTTATGTCCATCGGTTCTTGATTTAGGCTCTCTGAGCTCAAATTTACTACAAAGTGGATAATTTGGAGAGAGGAGAATATTTTCTGTTTGTTTGTTTGACTCTTTAAAATGTTTTTTAAATCAAATAATTTAACACCAATAATTTTGCTGGCCACTTTTACAATTTGTTTCATCTTGTTTTAGTCTTCTATTGATTGACAATTAAATAAAATGAGCATCAACACACTCCAAATGTATTTAATTTGCTGATGAAGTGGAATCTTTGATTAGATTTGTATTGCTTATCAGGATCTTGACTGAATCGGTTTCTTGTCAGTGACAACACTCAGATACTTATAAGCCTGAATGCACACCCCTGATTTCCTTTTAAAGGATCTCCTGTCCTGCTTTCATTGGAAAAAGAATGGAGATAAAAATGGTTTTTGTTGTTTTAAAAATGTTTGTGTGCCTCATTGGTGTGGTTGCTACCTTTTCTAATCTTTTTCCTTTGGAAGGGATTCAAAGAAGGAAAAACTTGCAAAATTTCTTGCAGATATTTCTGAAGTAGCACCACAAAGTTAGTGAAAGGGTCTTCAGTCTATGTTGAAAACTGAGCCACAGGGAAATCATAATGAGGACATGAAGTGAAGTAACACCCACATTGTAAGTAAAAACCTTCCTGGGTGCCAACATGGCAGAATTATCCAGGCCATTTTTAAAAAAGAAGAAAACCAGGGAAACAATTGGCATTCAGAGAATTTGGCCAGTCCTCCTCTGGAAATCGCTTGAAGACAATCGACTCCACCAGCAGACTACAGCTCCTGCTGTGGTTCTATGTTGCTGTTGTATGTGAGACAAGAACCACATTCCCAGCATTTAAAAGGAGAATAATAAGCAGAAAGTGATATTATAGGTTATGGTAGTGGTAGATTTATGCTTTGATCATCAAACGCCTTCCTATTCCCCTCGTCTCGCCTTTCCCTGCTGTGAAAACTGGGTCAGGTAATGATGGGGCAACCCGACTTTCCCACAGACTCCAAACAGCTGCATGTCTCTGGCTTGTTAGGAGCTGCCCAGTAATCAGTCGCCTCATTATAAACTCGCTGGCCCCCTAACAACGGCGTCGCACAGGAGAATTGCTGCCTGTGTACAAAAATGCCTCAGGCAGGATGGGTGAAAAGGTTTCTACTGCTGAGCGGTTCTGCATAAAACATGTGAATGATGAAGAAATTACCTGAAAATTTTACGCAACCTGAGCTGCAACGGCTGCGTTGCATCAAAGTGTTGCTTTCTTTCTAAATTTGGCCCACAGATGCAGATGGAAGCTTTTCATTTGTAATCAGGGTAAAAATCATAATCTTCTTGCACAGCACAATGTAAACTACAACACAAAGTATTCGTCTTCTTGTAACCAAGTTTTAACAAAAGGTGAAACCAAGTTTACTCAGAGACTTTTACTGAGAAACCAACTTCGCTGCACCCAAGTGAGCTTTTATTCTTTCTTAAACTTGGCTATAAATGCCACGCATTTTGAAACAAAGTGACCCAAATCCTGCTCTTATTCCTGAAAATAATGTATTTGATTGAGCCCAAAAGAAAAGGAAATCTACAGTACTATTACTTTACTATTTAGCACAGTAAACATGCAAAAGAAAAAGAGTAGTACATTTCTGACAAAAAAATTTTTGCCAACATTTTTGAGCAATCTCAGAAAAAAACAAAAAAAAAACATCACATTTGCTGGAAAAAATATATAACATTTTTAAATATCAAAAATTTTCAGAATTTTAAATGTCAAAATTTTGGAGTTATTGGCGGAAATTTACTTATTTTTTTCTGTCAACAATGTCCCTAATACATGGTCGTAAAAATCTTTTTCAAGGTTTGAATCTACAATAAATATCGGGCCACTTTATCTGCTTGATTTTACGTTGTTGTTTCTGTTTTTTTGCTACTTTGAGTCTACAGTTTTGGCCCACGTTGCAAAACGTTTGGACACCCCTGCCTTGCAGTAACTGTCATAAAAATGAATGTGTTAATCGATGTCGATATTTGATTTTGTTCAGAAGAGGTTGCCATATCTGCTGCTGCACCCAGCGCTGAGGCTGCTGCTCCACCCGAAGCTGCAGCTGCATCGGCACCAGAAGCTTCACCTGCTGCTCCACCCGAAGCTCCAGCTGCAGCTCCGTCTCCAGACACTTCAGAGGAAAAACCAAAAGCGGATGACGCCAAGCAGAGTTCCTCTGCACCCGTGGACCCTCCTGCTGAAGAGAAAACCGATGATGAAGGTGCCGTCTCCAACAAGACTTCGGTGGAGTCACTGAAGGAGACGAATGAGAACAACAGCAACAACTCTGGCTGCAGCCAGAGCAGAGGTTGGTGTTCAGGTCATATCTCCACTCAGTAGTTATAGTCTGTTTTCATAAATGTTATAATTTGCGAAGGTCTTAAAATGGGCACCATGATTTCAAAATCATTCGTGGTCGTCCAACTTTCAGTCAAAAGTGTCTGAAGGCTTGAGACTGATTTTAATATTGGTCCTATCGAGAGTTTGTATGAGGCTGAGTAGTCATAAACCAGTATGTTGGATGTACAGGCGCAATGACAGAGTTGTTGTTGTGCCAGATATCGAAACTCCTGGGCACATCAGGACACTCTTATATCTTAAAGCTACAGGATTTTTTCCATATTTGTTGAATCTGTATGATATGAAATGGATAATCTGAAAAGATTGAGCTCCTCTGAACGTCCTCAAAATACAATAATCACTTTGCAAACTTACCCCACTGGTTCACAGACTGGCAGAGGAGCAACACAACCTGGGAAGTCGGTGTGGACTGTCCAGTGTGAGGTGCGGCGTCCACCTTGGATTCCTGCTGTCCCTCAGAGACGAGGTAAGACAGCAGCTGATGCATGTTGAGCTTCAGCTGCTCAGCCTGTTAAGGTGCTCGTAAAATGGCGGCACCCCCTTCTCCACATTATAGGCTACAAGTCAACACACCACATTCAATCGGCTGGAGTTACAGCTTCCTGTCCTGATTTAATCTGTTATAAATAGAAAACTCATAACCATTAACTCTATAATTATGGCCTGTGCTTTTCCCTAAATTGTATATAGCCTGTCAGCTGGTGGTTAAAAATACACACTGCAAAAACTACTCTAAAATAAAACTGCATAAAAACATGTAACATTTTGCTTTCTTATTTTTCCATTTTTATTTTTAAAGTCAGCAGCTATTGGGTTGTGCATCATTTCATATTCAACATTCATGCAAAAGGTCTGAGACAATTTAATTATCAAAAATGCCGTTAGTTTCTTTTACAGTGACCTAATAAATTCTCTGCTTTTATAGCATGCAGTATTGAAGTTAGTGAAATTTCAAATGGACCAAATTTAGTTCAGAGCAAAAAAATAGTCATTTAATAACCACGATTCCTGTAAAAGAAGGAAACTACACTTTAACTGTGCAGTGAGTTTGATTTCCTGGGAGAAAAACATCCAAACCTTCACGGTCCTGTGCGAAAAACTGATTTCTCCCTGACATTAATGACTGGTTGATTCACCCATAGCAGTAACAACTGCAATAACTTGTAGTGAGTCTTTCACAGCTGTGCAGGAATTTTGACCTCATCTTTGCAGAATTGTTGTAATTCTGCCTCGTTTTCCAGCATGAACTGTTTTTAAGGTCATGCCACTGATGTTCTGAAACACTGAATTGTGACAAACATGCATTTCACATCTTTAAATAGTGGTTTTGTTTCTGTATATATTTCACAGTAATGTGAGTGTTGAGTTCAGCAAACTTCATGAATAAAACAGTTTCACAAGGAGGCATAAACATATTGTCTTATTAAAACACAAAGACAAAGATTATTGAAATTTAGTTGATGTTTTTGTCACATAGTTGATACATTTTTATTAATTAGACTTTGTTGTTAAAATTATTGAAGTGAGATAAAACAAGCATACTCTACTTCCTTTTCCTTATATTTGAATATTTTTGCTTTGATTTATTTTGATGGGCAAAATAAAATTGCAGTTGAAAATGGGGTTTGTAAACCCAATACAATGATAACAACTAAAAAAAACATGTTTATAACTAAATTTCTCTTGTTCTGGAAATATTAAACCGTTGACTTTAATCTTTCGTTCCTTTAACTGGCTGCTACGGATGGATGAGTGTCTTGGAGCGCGAGTAGAAACCTGGCCCTTGTCAATCTAATCATCAAATGCTCCAGGATGTGAGGTCCACACCTGCACCAGTTTCCTCTTCCTTCTGCTCATCAACACTTTGGGCTGCAGCAGCCCGGGGCGAAGGAATTCACACTGCTCCTCACAACTGGTGATAAGCTCACACCTGAGAGGACGGGCTCAGTTCGGCTCTTTTCTCACAGAAAGAAAAACACACTTTTCACCATAATATCACCACTACAGTCACGTCTGGTCTAGTGAAGCAGTACATGGATATGGTTTTCATATTCTGGTTATTTGTGTGATCTCCAACATCTAAGCCGGTGATACTTTAAGAAAAAATGTGGAAAAATGTAACCAAGTTCTACCCTCACTAATTCCATCAGTAAAACCTGTTGGCAGCTTCAAAGTTTTTGCACAGGTAAAGATTCTTTGCAAACTGTTTATAGATGGTGAAGCAGTTCCCAGACGTCTGCTGTGTCTTAGATTGTTGCTTAAATCCTCTGATTATATCTTAGATCTCGTCAGATTACTATAGCTGGAGCTTAAAAGTCTCTATAATTGCATATTTGATATTCAGAGATGTTGAACCTTTAAAAAAAACTACAAAGGGTGACGCAATATCAAACAGAAAATGGCTTAAGACATAACTTTAGATGCTTTTGATCTGATGTTGACATAATTTTTAATACTTAAGTCCTCCGCTTTTCACTTCCTCACTCTCTCAATGCGCTTCGCATCATGTTGCCAAGGACTGAAAATCAGACTTTGCAGTGTTATAAATGGCAAGAAATTATAGATTTAAGAAAATACAGACTATATAAAACCAGTATGAATATAAAACCAGTATGAATATAAAACCAGTCTAACCTGAAAATGAAAACCCCCACCTGGTTTGCGATGAGACAAGTAAGTCGGAGTTAAAAGGCTGTAGCCAGAGATAATGGACATGAGCTGACAGCTCATAAACTCAAGCTGCGTAATTAGACCTGTTCTTTACTCTGCTATTTTCCAGTTAGAGCGCAGCTTTCGTGTTTGATAGTTAATGTTTGAGGAAACGGCCTCAGTGTCTCACAGACAAACCCCTATTACAATAAAAAGTCATTTGTTTTATTGGAGAAGTCGTTACTGGAAGGAACTGGTTAGTGCTGATAAGAGCAGAAAAATAATGTATTAGCATTTGAAGGATAATGTAAGCATAATAGTTCATGGGTCTGGTTGGGAAAATGTCACTAATGACGGTGAAGAAACTTCCTGCTCAGGGGGTTTGATGTGGTTTAAACTGGGCAGCTCTACAGAGGGAGGGACTGTTGGGAATCGCAGACTGACTCTTCCTCTACGCTGCAAGGTTAAAACAGCTGGTAGAACTGGCTCCGCCCCTTTTCCCCTAAATTTGTACCTCAGATTTTAGTTTGAAGAAGAAAACAACCTGCAAATCAAGATGACATTAATGAATTATGTGAAATTATGATAACCTCACCAAACGCCCAGTATGTAAACAAGAAAATAAATAAAAAACCTGTAGCTATTTAAGAAAAATGCTTACTAGTTCGTAATTTCAGTTGGTGTTTGGATAAAGTTTGGGAAACCTTATCTATACCCAATCCATTGGTTTCAGCTGACACAATATGGTGCAAAAGTCTTAAATCACCAATAATTTCACTTGTGTTGAACCATATCTGCCCAGGTTCATATAAAAAGACACTCTTTACTCGAACTACAGAGTAAGTACCTAACCTACCTCAATCTGAGTTAATCTCACAGCTACCTCAGATTGTTAAAATTAAAGCTTCAATATTTCTGCTAAAGCTTCCTCACTTCTGTGACCTGCAGAGGTTCACAGTTGGGCCTTTCCAAAGGTCACAGGTGAGACGGTTTTAATGAAACGGTTCACCATGACGATGGAGAAATACTGTTGTTTTAGTGTCAGTCATCTGATTTACCGTTACAGAGGCTATTGGGATGTTTGTCCAAACGAGGACATTGTGACAAAAGAGAGGAAATTAAAAATATAACTGTTGAAGATATGAAAGTATCATGGAATTATTTAAAATCAGTGATAAGAATTTGTATTTAAGCTGAATGGCTGTCCTAAAACTGGGAAGTACAAAGTGAGTTGCCTATTAATAGCTCAAACATACTTTTCATTTTGCCAGGGAGCTACTTTTTATTTTAACAGGTGTGAATTACACCAGAACTATTTAACATGGTGACAATATCTAGATTCTTACTTCTTCAAGTGGCCTGTAACATTTTTATAGCCCGTCCTAATTTAGTAGAGTACGTTCCATGTCTTTACACCAAGCCAACCGGCTCTTAATGAGGGAGGGAGGGGCTGACATAGTGACAACAGTTTGCAAGGAACACAGAAATAACTTTGCGTGGGTTGGTTGTTAACAACCCCACTGTGTGATTTCAACTCTGCCTTGCCTAGATACTAAAGCTTTACTGGGGTTTCAAAACAAGGATTTGGACTACAAAGGGTTAGATTTTTGGGTACAAAAAAGATCCAAGAAATGTTTACACATGTTGGTCTAATAAGCTTTTTAGTTGCTTTACAATTTACATAAACACGGGAAAGGTTTTCAATACTTTTAAGTAAAGCCTACAGCCATTTACTCTTTATATTTCTGAACAAGAGCTGGAGTAATCCTTCTAGGTTTAAACAGTTTACTTAACTCACCTTTGCATGCTGGATGCTTAAAGAGGACCTATATAAAAAAAATTCACATTTTTGTATTTCTATTTGAGTCTAAAAACAGCCCAAGCATTTAAGAAAAACCACCCAGCTGATTTTGGTGTCAAAACCCTTCAGAGCGCAACGTAACAAATCATGGGGTGATGAGAGGATGTCTTCCCTCAGAGCTTGAACAGCTACAATGGAGTTGAGGCGGTTCTGGACACCATTTTGCACAGCAAGGCAGAAAGTTTGCATTTTAAGCAAACCACCTCAATGTGGAGTGTGAAGAAGATCAGATGGAAATAAACTGTGCGACTTGGTCTTGCCTGGTTCGCCTCTGGATGGTTTAAAGGTCCGGAGCTTTTAGGAGTTGGCAGCCTGGAGTCCTGCTGACGGATGGATGGACATTCATCCACCTGCTGCTACAGCAGCTCCACATTCCTCAGGCAGTCGAACAGTCAGATTCACACAGCGGCTTTGTTAGATCTCTGCCTCTCATCATCATGGTTAAAGTGAGCTGAGGTGAAGTCAAGTATGGAGCTAAAAAAAGCTATCAACAATTTTTACAAATCAGTTTTCTTTAGATATTTAAATGCTTCTGAAAAACTTTTAAAACGTTCCAACTTTTTTTTTTTTTTCTTTTAAGGATTTCTTTTTTGATTAGCTCTTCTTAACTGCATGCATAAACTCAAGTAAAAAGTTAAAGTTTTAGAGTATGAGATTGATCTGCTGCAGGTAAATTTGAAAGTTGCGCAGTTCAGCCAGTTTAGTTGGGCATTTCCTTCCAAATGTCTTTCAGCAACCTGCTTTCTGTGATTTTAGGGCCATTATAGACAGAAAAATTAGTACATTTCCACCAAAAAACAAAAATATTTTGGGTTTAATCTTAGAAATTTTCTATTAAAAAAACAATTAAATTTCTGAGTTCCAAAAGTCGTTCAAAAGCAACTCTAAACTCAATTTGTAACTGATTTGCACTGACAAACTTAAAACTGGAGACGAGGGGGAGCAGAAATACCTCAATAAACCAAATGTTACAAAAGTTAAATACATTTGGGGGTGCTGTGGTGGGGCAGGGGCGGGGCGCGGCCAGTGTGTTGGGGCCTTGGTCCTCGTGCCGGTGGTGGCGGGTTCAGTTCCCGGCCTGGCGACGTTTGCCGCGTGTCTTCCCCATCTCTCGTGGCCCTCTTTCCTGTCAAACTGCTTTCAGGTGGAGGCCACTAGAGCCAACAAAACCTTAAAAAACAAAAAGTTAAAGACATTAGTGAAAGTTGTTGGACATAATCATCTTGAAGTCATGATTGTGCAAAGACCACTGAGTAGTTTGGGCAAATTTAGACAAATAATTCATGCTAAACTTCAGGAACTAGACCGCTTTTCAGCTGGGATTATATCAGTTATCCTCTTCCTCTGACAGATGTTTCACCTTTTGAGGTTAAAGGTCATGCGTGAGGCTTTCATAGACTTAGTCAAACCAGAAGTTAAAGCAGTAAAAGCAGGTGACTGGAGGATATGTGGCTGTGGCAGAGGATGCTTTGTTTTCATTGTTCTGTCCTTTTGCTCTTCCTCTTTCAGGACGCAGAAGAAGCCAGATCGACTGCAGAGGATTAACTCACTTCAGCTCATTCTCTGGGTTTGAAGCTTGATCTCTTGTTGCCAAGTGTATTTTTGTGTAAAAGTGTGAAATATTGTACATCATTTTTACATGGTTTCTGCTCCAACTCTGTGTCTGATGTACAAAGTAAACTATGTATGTGATGACCTTGTAATAAATGTTTTTCCCCTAAAAGCACAAAGAATGTATGAACTGCAAAAATAAGAAATCTTTCCAGGTACTTCCGTCTTGTTTCTATTGCAGATATCTTGGTACACTTGAAATAAGACAAAACCAGCTTACATTTACTTTTTAGCAACATGTAAGTGTTGCTTTAAGTCAATAATTCTTGAACATTTATAAAAAGTATTGGTCCCACTGGCAAATTATTTTACTTATAACATTGGAAAAATGTCTTGTAACATGGAAGTAGTACTTTTTTAAAAATCAATATTAAGGAATTATTGGCTTAAAGCAAGCTGCTACATCTTGCTAAAAACTTCAGATTCTCCCAGTTGAAGTTGAAAAAATCTGCACAGTCCTTTACTCAAGTTCTTAAAACTTTCTGAAGCCAATTATTTCATATTTTACTTGATCTTACTTTTAACTCCATAGTGATTTTATAAGATTTACATCTTTAAAAAGTTCTTATTCATGAACTATTCATGTTTTCCGAAATTTAGAGTTTATTTACTATTGTTTTTGAGATGTGTGCCAAAACCATTTAGGGTCTATTTATAAACATTATGAGAAAGTTGGAACTGAAGTTTAAAAACTGTTTGCAATCTTTAGATTCTTTTTTTTTTTAAGTTGTGATTGGAGTTTATTGTAACTAATAAATGTTTCTGTTAAATTTGCATGTTCACTTTTTTATTTTTTCATACAAAACAATAACCCCAAGCATTCAGCTACGAAGATTTAGATTAAAATATAATAATGCATTAAAATGACCAATCCCATGGATTGAGATTGAGCAATTTTGTAAAGGAGAATTGGCAAAGCTCTCGATTGGTCATGACCGAAAGAACGAGGTTATGGATACAAGTGACCAAAATTAGTTTTCTCATTTGGGCTTTTGTTTTACTTTTAGATGTTCAAAGCTGGTAGAACTTATCAGATTCTACCATTTCCAGTCCAATGAAACGTCGGGCCTGGTCAATGGTTTCTGGTTGTCATAACTCTGCTCTGGATCCAAAGAACTAAGTAGCTTGATCATGTAGAGTCCACTGTTTTATTTATGCTATATGTGTAGAGTCATGGATACTACTTCACAATTTATCACACCATAAAGCTCAGTTAACATACATTTCCTGTTTAATTTCACGAGCCGTATAAACGGTGATGACTTTCCTGGTTTTTGGGAGTGGTCCAGCTGCTATATTAAGCCTGTTTCCACGGACTTCTGCTCCGGTTTAAAACCAAGTGATGGCATATATCGGTGTGTCCACAGAAGGGTTTAATCCACCATTAAGCAGGTGAAACGTTGCACTGAGCCTGCGGTGCAGCGGTGACGGCAGGAGCACGCTTAGACCTGACCGCAGTCATGAATGCGCTGCAACAAACCCCTCAGTGCAGCAGAACACAAGCCTCTTCTTCCTCGAAACTGGATCCAGAGGTCTCAGTATCCTCTATATTTATGCAGAGTATATTTACATCGGCCTGGATGATTTGAATGCTAGAAAGTGGCGCAAAGAGAATGTCAGGGGGAATCTTATTCGGCTATTCTAAGGAGGCACGAAGTTCATCATGGGTGAGCCTCCTGCTCTGACGTCAAAACAAGTTTTTATAGAATCTGTTTGAGCTTCTTATTTATCCATCTTTGCAACCTTCAATCAAAACCTGTTGGCTCTTGATGGATAAACATCTCAGCATAACTGTTCAAGCTGTGCTGTTGGTAGCAATGGTGCATTTCAGTTCAAATCCCTGCCCGGGTTCTTCCTGCTTGGAGTTTTCATGTTCTCCAGGTTCTCCGACTTTATCATGACAGATGTCTCATAAAATTGTCCGTAGGGATGCGTGTGTGAGTTTGGAAGAGGATTAGGGCCCACTTGAAAAGATCAAAATAAAAAAGGATATTGACAATCTCAGAAGGCAGATTTGATTACAGGAGCCTGACTTTAATCTCAGAATCAGAATTGTTGAAATTGTTTATGCATCATCATGAATTGCCATTTGTGAGCTCAAAAAGTTGAGAATTTTCAACTTTTAAAACTGAAAATTTCTGAAAGAGTTTCGACTTCACAATCTGTTTCTTCTAAAAAAAAAAGTGTGTAATTTATCTAAAGATTTCTGAGTTTATTTCTTCCAGACATTCAACTTTTCAAGCTCTGAAAATTTAAAGTTTTGTCAACAAAACATCAAAGATTATTCTCAAAATTCCAGATTTTTTTCTTGCATTTTTTTTTTTACTTTTGGAGCTGAGAAATTTCCTTGTTTTTCTAGACCTTTTCTGAGATTAATTTCTCAGTTTCTGAGGGTTTTTTTTGGCAGAAATTTACTTCTTTTTTTTTTGTATCTACAATGGCACTAACGTACTGTTGTAATACTGCCTATTTGCAGTTCTGGTTCATGGATTTTTCTGTGGAATACATTTGCTAAAAATGTGCATATTCACTGAATTTTTTATAGAGTAAATCTAAAAGTTTCAAAAGAAGATGCAGCTTGGGAACTTAACACTCTATTGACTGCGGCTTGTAAAGTAGCTAATCCAGGAGCGCCATTCATTTTGATGTTTATTGGCTGCACCTCCAGCAATGGAGATAAGGAAGACTACAGATGCTAACTTCTGCAGTAGTGTTAAAACAGCTTCTATTCTATTCCCTGATTTTAGGGCGAATACCAGGGCTTATCTAAGCTTAGCTTATTTACCAATTACAGCTCCCCACAGGCTCAAGCTAACAGAGGAAACTATAGTCTGGATTGAAAGGACAACAGACTGTGTCTTCTGTCTTTGTGGCTGCTCAGGATGAAGGGACAGGATCTACTCAGACTTTGTGTTTCATCCATCATCGGCTCATTAGCGACTGCTGTCATCAAGAGCTTTCCCCAGGATGAGGAGTTGATCCTGGGCGTCTGAGCCTGGCTTCCAACCAGCATCTCTGTCAGTTTACCTTGGACTCCCATTAAATGCATGTCATGTCTTTCAAGTCTGAATTAAAAGGAAAGCTAATGGCTGCATTAATGTACTTATCCCAACAACAGGCGCACTTAGCAGCTAGCATACATAAACGATTGTACTTTGTTTTATTTATCACTCGGTTTCAGATAAATAAGTTTCCGGCTGAGCCCACAGCTCGTTGTTTTTTGCTTTGTCTTTTTAAAGGAAGAAATGTAAGATAAACGCTGGAGAGCATTGGTTTGTTTCTGTAGTTACACCATTTGGTATGTGTCCCACGTGTATTTTTGGACAAGTAAGGAGGCCAGGATTTATTTAGAGGATGCAATGAAAAGCGTGATACAGAATGCCTGAATGCAAACGGCATCTCTGCTATCTGGCCCACACATCAAGGAAGGTTGCCCTAAAAACATCTCTATCCTCAGTCAATTAAGGGTTTATTCCTCAATTACAATCTGAATTATTCAGACATTCTGAGGAGTGCTTTTAAATTAAAATTGTCCATTGACAAAAGTTCCAGCCAGCAAACATACGAGAATATGACACTTTGTAGGTTTGGTAAATTAAAAAAAATATATAATTAGTGTTCAGTATGATGAAGAAATGGTAAATGCTGGAGATCAACTGGGAGGACAATCTGTTCCTAAAGGTTCCTCTGTATTTTTATCTTCTCACAACCTTGAGCCAGGAGTGCAGATCCTCATGTTCTCACTGGAATGATGGCTTCTTTTCACTTATTTATATAGCTTCAGATATTTTTTTCCTAATCCTGATCCTTTGTCTATTATAGAAATGCAGTTTATTTCTACATTTATAGTTTTCATCTATACCACAGAAACTATTTTGAAGGCAGAATACATATTTACAAAAAGTAAATACATTTGGCCCCATAAGACATTTCAAACTTGATTTTTTTTCGTCAGAAATTGAGCCCATGTGATTTTTGCCATAATACATACAAATCTTTTTTGTTGTTTTTTTATCTTAAAATTCTACTTTAATTAATTAAGTTTAAATGTATCAAGTCATTAGAAGGCACCAGAGCCTTCTGCATTAAATGTCCTGTACATCCGATTTTAACATTAAATCTACGTGTAAACGTCATTTAGAGATAAGTCAGCAGTAAGTCTATTTGTAGTCCTGATTTGGAGCAACATATTTTGTCTAGGCTTATACTAAGTAAAACTGCCTCATTTAAATTGTCAAACTTTATATTTTTGATTAAAAAAAAATCATTAGGATTACAAAGAGAGTTGCAGGCTGACTCTGATAGTAGTTATGAGATTGGTAAGTCATAATTATCAGATTTAACTTTGTTTTTTCATCAGAGTGGCATAAATAGGCTTCATATTTTTCTAATTTTCTAAATTAGAAAAATATGTGAAGGTAGAAGTTACGTCTGATTGTCATGATGCACAACACCTGATTATTTATTTGCAAGTGTTTATCAATAAATTATGCTTTCCACCTCAACAAAACACATTATATGCAAGTATATTTTTATGTTTACTAAAGTTTGCAAGATAAAACCTAAAAAAAAAAAAATTGTTTCTAATGTATAGCCAATAGATTATGAAACACCGGAAACATTTGTCAAGTATACATTTTTTTCTCAATTTCAAATTATATTTTGATTGTTGATTTTACACATAATCAACAATCGTACTGTACACATGCCAATACAGTTGGTTTATTTGTTTCTTTTATTCTCCCATTGCAATTTTAATGACGGAAGAAAAGGGGGGTAAATGTTGGTTGGAGCAGCTCTTTTTCAGACTTGTCCAATGGTCTTTCTTAAATTAGCCATGGGGGCTGGAGGCTCCCCCCCTGTGCTTACAGAAGGAGGAGTCAGAGCCTGTCACTGTCTACTGTTTCATTCTTACCTGCACAGCCCTGCAGCCTTCACACACTCGTGTCTCTGTGTGGCCACACAGACACACAGGGACTGATTCAAAGGCACAAACCAGCAGGAAGACGTCTCCTTTTTCATGATTTTTTATTACTATTTCATCCAGAGGCGGAATCTGTGATATATATATAATCTCCAGGACAACTAGCAGAGGACATGGCTGGTTGTCTGCAAAGTTCCCAACTTTGCAAAAAGTGGGCATTTCTTAGATGCCTGCTCTTGACTCTGTGTCTCAGTTCATGTCTTGT